TCTCTCTCTCTCTCTCTCTCTCTCTCTCTCTCTCTCTCTCTCTCTGCTTCTACTCTTCTACCTTCCACACGTCTCAGCCCACCACCAATTCATATCATTTTACCCCTCCCGCCTTTTATACATTTTTACTATGCGAACTACTTGGCCATATCTCTCCTCTGACTCCCCCATCAACCCCATCGTCTTCGCTTTCCTAATTTCACCAACTTCATCGTATATATGTGATGCATTCTTTCTTCGAGTGCGAGTATGGCACTGTACACCTCATCGTAATGGTACGAGGTTCTTATGGAGTGGACAGTGGGAAAAGTATACATCCTACGAAGGGGCACAACTACACACAACGATAGCTCCCTGGTATAGCACGAGAAGCATTGGTTGACCTTTGTTGACCTCCCTCGCATGCAAATATCATACAAAACGGTCGAGCCTTAAAACGTAAAAAATTAGAGAGCATATAATTCAATAAAATATTTTATTCTATACAGGCGAAAGATCGCACTCACTCAAAACAGGGACATAAAGGCAACGATTATTGGTAAAATACGTTCTACCTAAAATATGTAAACAAAAATAACAACAACGCAGTTATACAGCACCGTTTCAGAAAAATGCCAACTTCTAGTTAGTTTCACACGCTGTGACTCTTGGATATTCAAACATGTACACTCGGGCACTCTCATGACTATATTAGCATCGATGTTGACATATGTCGAATATATTCCTCTAAGGCATATTAAATACAAATATCTATGAAATATAGTTGAGCAGGTAATAATAACAATTATACGATAAATAAACAAACGCGCTCACGTTTTCGAGCGTTCTCGAATTGCACCAGCCCTTACGGCTTACAAACCACACGTCATAGACAAATAATAATGGAATATAGTTGAGCTTTTCACCGCAAGGTAATGTAATTACAAATTGAAGCCACATTAACATATGCGGACGCACAGCATATGTGGTATACCATACCTTTAACCTACGTAAATTACATAATATCAGGAATGAATAATAATATTATTATCTATTATTATTCACTCCTGATAATATATATATATACATATATATATTATATATATATATGTAAAGAATTTCGGTCTGCCGCAGCGTCACATCCCCGCGTTCTACCCCCTGCAGTCTGCCCAGCATCCTCA